AATTACTATGGGGGATGAATTACTATGGGGGGTGAATTACTATGGGGGATGAATTACTATGGGGGATGAATTACTATGGGGGGATGAATTACTATATGGGGGATGAATTACTATATGGGGGAATGAATTACTATGGGGGATGAATTAATATGGGGGATGAATTACTATGGGGGATGAATTACTATATGGGGGATGAATTACCATATGGGGGATGAATTACCATATGGGGGATGAATTACTATATGGGGGATGAATTACTATATGGGGGATGAATTGGCATGGGGGATGAATTGCTATATGGGGGGATGAATTGCTATATGGGGGATGAATTACTATTATGGGGGAGGAGAATTACTATGGGGGATGAATTACTATATGGGGGATGAATTACTATATGGGGGATGAATTACTATATGGGGGATGAATTACTATGGGGGATGAATAACTATATGGGGGGGATGAATAACTATATGGGGGATGAAATTACTATGGGGGATGAATTACTATATGGGGGATGAATTACTATATGGGAGATGTATTTTCAGTTTTAAAAATGTGGCTCTCAAAAAAATTTCAATCGTGTTTTTGGCGAGATTTGGCTCAGTTGAAAAAAAAGGTTGCCCACCACTGGCCTAGTCGATCGGAGCAGAAGTGGGAGTAGGTACCTGGCAAATTTTCAGGTACCCGCTCCTCACCCCGAAAAGGTGCCAATCTTTAATGGGGAGACGGGGGACCAGTCTTTAAAGCATAACGTCCCCTTTTGGGTGGAGCCCCGCTTTAATCACTTCTATACTCTCCACGTCCAAAGCAGAAATGTCAGCCTATTGCAAGCTGTAACAACCTGACTTATCTGAGAGACCTCGCTATGATAAAGAACTCACAGTGCACCATGGGTTAATCTTAAAGAGCACAACATAACTGCCTGTCTTCAGTCTCACTCTCCTATATTACTGAAACCTCTGTCGAGATGGGTTGGGGAAACAATAGAGGAATGAAAGGGGGAAACCAATGGGAGGAAGGATTGAATGATGCAGGTACATTTTTAATAGAGTTGGATTAAAGCCTGTACTCCACCCAAACTCCTTTCAAAC